CCCTTCCCCTTCCCCTTCCCCTTCCCCTTTAACCATTGGATCTGCCTATGCCAGTTTGTATTAATTAACATAAGTGTATATATATTAAATATTTGTTTTAGTTATACTATAAAGTATTGCAATTGATTAATTTTTTAAAGACGTTACTTTTTGATTACTTTATATGTTTATCATCAAGTTTTTGTTAAATATAATTTAGGGTTATCATCTTTATCTAATTGTCTGATTGATTGAGACAAGGTAGTAGTACGAGTACAAAGAAATAAGCATGTTCATCTGAATACATTAGAAAGAGAGGATATAAGCAACTAAATTCTCTAGTGCTTGGGTTGCAGAGCCACCCATCTCTAGAGATTGGTTCACCTTCTCCTGAAGAGATTCAGATCTCTGTCTCATCTCATCACCTTCTTTGTCTACAATGACTCTTTTAATGGCTCTTCCGACCTCCTCAGCCTCCATCCCCTTCTCCAGCATCACTCCTATCCTCCAAACATCCACTACATATACAGCGTTTATCGGCTGATCATAAGAACAAGGTGAGCAGATCATGGGAACACCTTCGCAGATGCTCTCCAACACCGAGTTCCATCCACAATGGGTCCAAAACCCTCCTACAGCTTCATGAGCTAGTACTTCTTGTTGGGGAGCCCACTTGACGATACATCCTCTTTCACCTACCTCATCCAAGAACCCTTTAGGCAATGACTCCAGCCACTCAGAACCAGGGACTGAACCAGGTCGAACCACCCACAGGAATCGTTGCTTGCTGCTTGCTAATCCCCAAGCCATATTAGCAAACTCAGATTCATCCATCTGAGCAATACTTCCAAAACTCACATACACTACAGAGTTAACTGGTTGGTGGTCTAACCATGAAATAGAGCTTCGATCTTGTTCTAGTAGGCTGCTAGAGGAGGATGGACAATACTTGTGAAAAGGACCTATTGGAAAACAGGGAATGCGAAAATCTTGAGATATGGCTAAGAATGCAGGTTCTTCGAGTTCTTTGAAGGTGTTATAAATGATTCCCGACGCTGCCTTTGTTTCTTTGATCATGATCGATATCAGCTCCAGCTTACCCTCCTCAAAACCGCCTGCATAAATCTTTAACATGTCCTTGTTTGTCATTGGTGGCAGCTCATGGTTGGTGGTCTTTAAGTAGCCCTTCTCTTGAACAAGAGGCAAGGCTGCATACACAAGGATACAGGACATGCTGCTGGTGCGTAAGGCGATCCGTGGGAGTTTCAGACCGTCTGCAACAGACTGAGTGAAGTGCCATAGTGAATCTGAGATCAAGCAAGCTACAGGCTCCTCTTGTAGCAGCCTAGCCAAGCAATCCCTGAAGGGATGAATGCAGCTTTTGTTCATGAAGTTGACGGCATAATTACCGGTTTCCAGATTCAGAGTGGAGTCTTTGTCGGATATGGAGAAGCCATCTGAGATTGATTTGAAGGTGAATTGAGGGTAGATTGATTGATATTGAGGTGAGTTGAATTGGGTGTGAATGATGGTGATGTTGAAGCCTTTTGTGTGAAGAATGTTTGCTAACTGAAGCATGGGGTTGATATGGCCTTGAAGTGGTACCGGAAAAAGCACCAGTCGGCGGTTGTTAGACGGTGGTTGTGTGGACATGATGATGATGGTGGTGTTTGGCTGATTATTTTGCGTGGGTATTTAAGTTGGAATGGCACTCGTAAGGTTTACCAACGGCACCCCTAAGTTTATCCCATTATTTTTTTTT